TTGCATAAACAAAAGTACAAAGCGGTGAAGATCATTAATAGGCAATTGTTCGATGGGCTGAATTGCACAAAATGCATGATCGCACCGGCTATCTGGTGCGCGTTATTATTTATTGTAACACGCCACCACTGATTAATTTTTAACCAGAGCGACAAATGGTACTACATTCAGTATACGGTTCCTGGAGCACAAAGATCCCAAATACGCCAGTTTTGCCAGCTCGAGCACCCAAGTACTGCGCTGGTCCAGGGGTGATCGAACTATAAGGTCCACCAATATCGGCTCAAATTCCGCAAACGTCTTAAAAAATACGAATCTCAGCTTTTCGTACGTGTAGTTCTGTCCTGGCACTGAACGCATCATGCATGTTCATTTCACGCAAATCCACAGATCGAAGGACCTAACATAGTTGCGTCCGGCCTATAGAAGCATTTCCATTAATATTACTAACATAGGTGACTCCCCACGTCGACTACTAGAGCAGCTTTCGACACCCTTAATGTTCACATATGCGTATTAGTGAAATGTCCACAAATCAAATAAAAAGTAATTATTACTACAGTTTTCTTAAAAGATGGTAATCCGTATCTCTTGGGGATTCTTGATTACACCACTGACAAAATGGCAGCGTGGAACACATACCTTGTTTAAGTCGTCCGAAGCCTCGAAAAGGAGCGACTGAAAAATGTAGTCGGCATAGCGATGCCTCTCCTCGTTGTACGCTAACCAAGCCAGTGCCAGTTCCAAATTCTGCAATATATATGAGCTCAACAAAGCCAAAAAGTAGAAATTCGTCATTTCCGACTCTCCAGAACTGCCTCTTTTCAGAATTTTTAGATCGATGCACTAACAGATCCAGCAAAAAATCAGCCCGCATTCCATTCCGACAAAGATTTGTAATACTCACCGATTCTCGAGACAGTGGTGGGAGCAGTTGATGCGAGTTGTGAGAACAGATGCAAGCACTCTTTCGGGATGAATCGCTCGATCGTACGGCGCAGATGTTCTGCGCGAGGAACAAAATTATCCCCGGGCAAAAACATAGTTTGATATCAACTTGATCTCGGAGTGTGATTTGAAGGCTAACTTTACAAAACAAAGAACCTTTTTGAAGTCGGCTGTAATGGTCATAGCTTGCAAGATACGTCGAGCTGCAGGTGGATTCGCGAGCTGCAACGGATCCTACATGTAAATGCGATTCTTTGCAATGTTAATAGAACAACAAAAGGGATGTAAAGGAAACTGCCAGGGATGAAGCATCTTGGTACCAGCCTTCTCACACCTAACTCAAGGGTCAATTTTCTCGACGTGTTCATTTTTTGAAGTTTTTAAAGTGTATTTTTTTGACATTTTCACAATTTTCGTACGTAAAAATTCTCACTCTCCTCAGCGAGGCCATTTATGTGTTTTTGCATATATGCAAATGCGAAAACGCATATTGCGACGACCCCGGTGTGCGTGTGTGTATGTGCGCCTGTCCGGGTATTTCAACTCGGCACCCAAGTAAGCTCCGGCACCAAAATTTTGCCGGTGGGTTCCTCAGCCTAATGCCACCCCAGGACCGCGATACCAGCCTTCATGCGAGTCTGGGCCTCGCGTACGAGAGGGTCAAAGTTTTGGCCGGAAAATCGCTAACTTAGGAACCAGAAAACCTAAAAAGCTGAAACTTTGAGTTTATATTTCTCGTCCATATGGGACTCAAAGATTTCAAATCCAGCCTCCAGGTCTGCGTGATATCCGCGCACGGCCCTGCGAGGATTCCTGGCGCGAAAATCGCGAACTTGGGAACTAGGAAAGTTTGGAGGCTGAAATTTTCAGGGGATGTTCCTAGTACATGTACAACTTAATTTTATCGAGTTCAGCTCCCAGGCGTACGTGGTTATCACGTACGGCCCCGTGAAATTTTTTGGGCGAGAAAGTGGCTAACTCAGGAGCTAGGAAAGCTGGGAAGCTAAAATTTTCAGGAAATGTTCCTAGCTTATGTACAACAAGAATTTATCAGATTCTGTCTTTGGGCATTCGTAGTTCTCTCGTACGGCCCCGTAAAATTTTTTGGTGGAAAAATGGCTAACTCGGAAAATAGGAACACTGGGAACTGAAATTTTAAGGGTGTGTTCCCAGCCCCCGTGAAAGTTAAAGATATCAAATTCAGCTCCCAGATATGTGTAGTTCTCATGTACGAACCCATGAAATTTTTTGGCGGGAAAATTGCTAACTCTAGAACGGGATGAGTTGAAAAGTTGAAATTTTAACGGAACGTTCCCTGTCCAGGTACCGCGTAGACAATTAATTTTCTGAACTTCGAAGAGCAGTATGTCGCAAATCCTAACTACCAGTTTTTCGAGCGATCTCATTAAAGCACGAAATACTACAAAAACGCATGATCGCACGGGCCCGCCCGATGCGTGTCGCCAAAGATTTGGTATTTTCCTCGCCACGCTCAAACTGCCTCTGCTTACTGTTAAGGAGTACCGTTTTCCCCTTCTTCCTCTCCCCTTCGCTATTGTACCATTCGTATGTTCTTTAAACGACATGACCAATAACCCAGGCTGGAACGGC